TATGTCACATCTTGATCGAATAGTGGCCAAAATCAATGAAATGACAAATGTTTTCCCTGTTCCTCCAGGTTCGTCCAGGAAGAATAGACCACCAGTATTATTTTCCATCGCTTGCATTAATGTTTCGTATCCTTTTTTTTGCTTGTCATTCAGCAACGGCACATTATTTCGAACGAATTCCTGCAATGTATCAACATTGTATTGCAGCTCTCTATTTAATTCTTGGTTGAATGCATCGTGCATCGATCGATTTGGCGCAATCATTCCTACTTCAATCAGTAGCTTGTTTGCAATAGTCAAGCATTGATCCTCAATCAGAATCAATCCTTCATTGTAGATTTCATCGGTTATTTGGATGTCAGGATTATTCGTTTGAATGCGCAAGCGATGCAAGATATTTTCACATATGTCGTCTTTGTATTTGTTCCATAAGTGAATTGGTTGTGAAGGAAAACATGTGGTGATGATAATTGCGAACAGAGTTCGTATTTGGTACGCATTTGATGAAACAACTGAATCCGCAAGTGTTAAATCCCAATGAGAATCGTTCTCCAGCAAACCCAATAGTTGACATGCTTCTCGATATGTTTGGCATTGGTGGCCATTCACAATTTTCAAATGCGCAAATGATTTTGGTCCACGTACATTTACCAACAGCAGTCGCAAATAAAAACATTCATCATTTCTAGGATGAACAGTATACATGCGACCTAGTGCATCAGTGGAAAACACCTGTGGCCAATCTGGAACTGGGGTTCCTTGTTTGCGACGTTGAAATTTCTTTGTTGATTGATTCCAAGTGTAATACTTGGGCATTTCAACGTACATCAGCGTCGCTGCGAATGGATCTGCTTCTCACATTGCAAAAAAGCTAGTCAATGTTGTCGATGGTGGTCTCTCAGCTAGTTGTGCCGCATTAGCCTCAGTGAAGTAAACTCTTTGGCCATTTTCCAAATGCACTGCTAAATGTACAACTGTGGGATATCTTTCATGAATTTGAAATGACAATAATCGCCACAGTGCTTCATTAGTACTGACGTATCTGCCCATTTGGAAGTTGCTGATTTCGTCATTCGCATTTTCCGACGCAATACCAAACACAGCCATGTCACTGCCTTTTGTGACGTACTTGCACAAATATTTGATTGATTTGGCCGAATGACAACTCTCAACGTTTGCATGTGTTTCGAAAATTCGTGATAGCAGCGGGCAATATCATCATCATCATCATTACAGCCCTTCACAAGTCCACTGCTGAACATAGGCCTCCCCCAAAGAATGCCACAAAGCACGGTCCTGAGCCACCTGCATCCATCGACTTCCTGCAAATCTTACCAGGTCGTCACTCCATCTAGTGGGGGGACGCCCTACACTTCGCCTGCCGGTACGAGGCTGCCACTCGAGAACCTTTCTTCCCCATCGGTTGTCGGTTCTTCGAACCATATGGCCGGCCCATTGCCACTTCAGCTTACTAATCCGTTGGGCTATGTCGGTCACTCTGGTTCTACTGCGGATATCCTCATTTCTGAGTTTATCACGCAGAGAAACTCCGAGCATAGCCCTCTCCATAGCTCGCTGAGCGACCTTGAGCTTCCTCATCCGGCCAGCAGTGAAGGACCACGTCTCAGTTCCGTATGTCATCACTGGCGACACGCACTGGGTGTACAGTCTCGTTTTCAAGTTTTGAGGTATACCTGACGAGAAGATGTGCCGTAATTTCCCGAACGCTGCCCAACCGAGTTGAATCCGTCGATTGACCTCTCGGTCGAAGTTGGACTTACCTAGTCGGACTATTTGTCCCAGGTAAACATACTCGTCAACAACTTCGAGCTTAGTGTTCCCAACAACTACCGGCATAGGTGTGACATGGACATTAAACATGATCTTTGTTTTGTCCATGTTCATCTTAAGACCTATCCGTTGGGAAACACTATTGAGGTCATTGAGCATAGTGCTTAGGTCCTCCAGCGATTCTGCCATAAGGACTATATCGTCGGCAAATCGAAGGTGAGTGATGTACTCGCCATTGATGTTGATACCGTATCCTTTCCAGTCCAGAAGCTTGAAAACATCTTCCAATGCAGCGGTGAAGAGTTTCGGGGATATGACGTCACCCTGTCTTACACCTCTCTGCAATTGGATAGGTTTCGTACTCTGGTTCTGTACTCGGATAGCCATCGTAGCCCTACTGTACAAGCACTTCAACACTTCGATATACCGACAGTCAACTTGGCATCGCTGAAGGGACTGCAGCACCGCCCAAATTTCGACGGAATCAAAGGCTTTCTCATAGTCCACATACGCCAGACATAGTGGCAAATTGTACTCCTCGGACTTCTGTACAATTTGTCGAAGGGTATGTATGTGGTCTATGGTGCTAAAGCCTTTTCGGAAACCGGCTTGTTCGGGAGGCTGGAAGTCGTCAAGTCTGCGCGCGAGACGATTCGTAATGACTCTCGAAAACAGCACGTAGACGCGGCTCAGAAGGGAAATCGGTCTGTAGTTCTTCAAGAGAGCGTTGTCGCCTTTCTTGAAGAACAAGACCACCGCACTTCTGCTCCACGCCTCCGGTGTAATGCCACCATGGAGGACGGAATTAAAGAGCTTCTGAAGGACTTCAAGTACCGGTTTTCCACCCGCTTTCAGAAGCTCCGCTGTAATTCCATCCTGGCCTGGGGCCTTGCCGTTTTTAAGGTGCTGGAGAGCCATTCTAATCTCGCTCAGACTGACGTCCGGGATATCATCGGAATAATGTCGGATAAGACTCGCTCTTGGATCGTTACTCACACTTGCGTGTGGCTCCAACGATGACGTGTACAGCTGCCCATAGAACCTCTCAATCTCACTCAAAATCTCAGGTGCCCCGGAAACGATGCTGCCACATTCGGTCTTCAGCTTTGACAGTTGGCTCTTTCTGGCAGACAGATCTCTGGCAAAGACTTTGGAGCCTTGGTTCCGCTCGATCGCTTCTTCAATACGAGCTGTATTGAAGTTGCGTAAGTCCCGCCGCATGCATTTGGAGATCTGTCTGTTCAGTTGCCTGTATGCTGTCAAATCTGTTGAAGAATGTAGCTTCATCTCCCGTCTAACAGCCATGAGATTAAGAGTGTGATCGGAGAGTTTTTGTGTTCTTCTGCGGCGGGTCTTGCAGAATTTAGCTCCGACCGCATGGACAGTTTCCACGAGCTTGTCATTCAAATCGTCCACTTCATTGCAGTCTTCTAGGCACTGAAAACGGTTTTGCAACTCGAGCTGAAAGGTTTCGGGACTTTGGATTAGAGCACGAGGGGGACGGAGCGTTGACTTCATTAGACGAGACCTCTCCAACTTAACGTTTAGGTTCAGTGTGCCTCTAACCATTCGGTGATCGCTGCCGGTTTTCACCCTCGCGATCACTGAGACATCACTGAACAGTTGTCGTCTGGTCGTCATAATGAAGTCAATCTCATTTTTTGTCGAACCGTCGGGGCTCGACCAGGTCCACTTCCTGTGGGGCCGCTTCTGGAAGAAAGAGTTCATCATAAAGAGTCCCTCTTTCTCCATGAAGTCGGCCAACTGCTGGCCCCTTGGGTTCCGTTGCCCTATTCCAAATTTCCCCACTTTCAGCTCACCGTTCTCTCTTGTGCCTAGTTTTGCATTGAAGTCTCCCATTAACACCGTATATTGGGTTTTGGAGGAATGCATGGCTCTAGAGATATCCTCATACATTTCCTCCACCTCCTGATCGGGGTGTGCCGAGGTTGGTGCGTAAACCTGTATGACCTTCAGCGAATACCGTTTGGTGATTCTGAGTATAAGGTACGCAACCCTCGCCGACACACTCTCAATCTTTACAACGTTGTTAACGAGAGACTTGTGGACGATAAATCCGACACCTCCTTGGGACAGATGGTCGCCCTCCCGGTGATAGAGCAAGTTGCCGGATTCGAGGATTACCGTGTCCTCCCCCTCTCTTCGGACTTCGGATAATCCTATAATATGCCAGCGTAACTTGTCTATCTCTTCTTCCAGCTCCACAATCTTCTCGTCAGTCCTCAGGGTGCGTGCGTTGTATGTTGCCAGGTCGAGTCGTTGTAGGTGGCAACCGAACCTCCACCGGAGATTCTTAGCACAATGGCAATATGGTACAATGAATTCATTTCCGATCTCAATCTCTTGATTTTGAACTTTAACTTTGATAGTTCGACCATTATCTTCTTTTGAACGCCGACGATAAACTGGATATCCATCGTTCCCTGTGACTGTTTCAGTAACTAACGGTCGCGGATATCGTTTTGTGCACTTTCCATCAGCCATGCAAGGCGATAATGGATTTAATGCACCGCACGGTCCGTGCACCATGTGTGTCGTCACAATGTCGTGTAGATGGGGATCAGTGACTGGATCAGGAATTTCAGCTGATATGATGTAATCCACTTCATTTGAATGTAATTTGTTCAGCAGCCAAATTAGGATATGAGCATGCGGTAGTCCACGCTTCTGCCATTCCACCGAGTACATATAACAACGTGTATCACCAAAAACTCGATACTTAGTAAGCACATCCATCATAACCTTGAGTTTTTGCTGAAATACTCAGGCGATTATGTCATGGCGATCTTGCGGTTTTTGGCCCGGTTCCAACTCACGTTCAATTTCCGTCCACTTCGGATTGCATGTGAACGTAATAAATAAATCCGGAGTTCCATAATTTCGCACGTACGTCATAGCGTCTTGAGCGTATTCGTGCATGTGGCGTGGGCTTCCGATATAAGATGATGGGAGAATCGTCAGACGTCCAATATTTTGAACATCACCATCTGAATGAATAGCATCACGCAAGTGTATATAGTCCTCAGATCGTAGCTTTGCCTGATTGAATCGGATGAACGCTAAACGTTCGGTCTCGACTTTGACATACATGTCGACAGCGAATTGCTGGAATAGCCGACGGCACTTCAGAATGACATACTTCTCATGTGTACGAATCATCATACGATACGCATAGTAATTCATTGCGCTTAGATTTTTATTCGTTGATATGCCTGAAAATGCAAAATTAAATGAATTGTTAATGGAAACCAATAATAGCAATAATTAGTGTGTGAATATTGTACCTGTAATTGGATCGACCATCTTCAACGTAATTTCGTATCCGTCTTGCCCTTGCCAATAAATGATTGGATATTGTAACGCATCGTACAAACGATGTGTCTCGTTTACACGATGCATGATATTGCTTCTTCGCTGAACGACAATGTCTCGCGACTTATTTGGATCGCCAACAATAATTGCAGCAACATCATTAACGGTGGGTGCATTGAATCTTCGCACATGTTCACCTATTGGGGTACAATCAGCTCTTATGACAAATTTGTGCGTATCCGATGGCATTAGTTCCAATGCTGTTTTGAACATATTAACCACAGCATTATTAGCGTGAAAAAATGCTTGCAACTGTTCAATAATTCGTCTCTTTAACTGTTGTGTTCCCTGTATATTGCACCGCACATTCAGCTGATCCACCATCGACGAAATGAAATATATTTGCAGAAATTGATGCGGTTCATCTGGTGTTGGCACCATTGAACCATGCAAATGATATATTTGTCCTTGTATCTGTAATTGCAAACAATCATTTGTTGAAGAATACGGTGTAACTTCTGATCGTGTGATGATGTAGTGTGTGGTGTATATGTAGTTGTTATGTGTTGCAATTCATTATGTTGGTGTGAGTGATTAGTTATGTGTGTTGTATCTTTTACCTTGCAAGTCGGCATGAAGCCGCCTTCTCCAATGATATTAGCTCCAAAGGAAGTCATGCGAAAGCAGTTATTGTATTCAAGGATGTGTTGAAGAAAATGGCTGGAATCGGGATCACTTCCATCGAACAATGGTTGCAGTGGCTGTGGTGGTGTAAGTAATGGATCCAGTTTGACTTTTCCACTTGCGCAGCACAATCCAGCCGTTTCTCTTTTGAACTTTAACGCATTGCAATATCGGCATATAGTCGTCATTGGTCCAATATCTAAATTTTCATCATCACTGTAGTTCGCAGTGGGATCATATTGGAATGCCAAGCGATTGTATGATGCCAATGATCTTCGTGTGCTCACGCGTTGTCTCAATCGGGCATTTTCTCTTATTATATTTTGTCTTTCTTCGCTTAAGTTCTGTGAATACGCTTGTTGCTGGCTTGCATGTCTTGTGCGGCGGCCGATGTTCACACGTCGTCCTCTAGGCATCTTGGACTATGGACAGAGTGGTGAATTTAACCTCAAATGCACGATCCACATAATTTACACAGTTCAACTTACCACATTAAAGACAAATGCCTGCTGTTGAAATTGAATAAAAATTTGCACAATACACGTGATTGATTTGATGGTAAATGTTAGGAAACGAATAACTAATTTTTTTTACTTTTTTTTCACAATTTCACAGTGAACACAATACCGGTTTGTCACATGAAATACCCTTCAAAATCCGAAAAATCCATTTGGATTTCTGACTTGTCAGAAATATGATCCCCTCCAAAGAGTATATAATAAAGTAATTTAATTAATGGCCCCCTTAGAACAATAAATTAAGAGTATTCAGAACTTAGAGTACAAATAAGGAAGGTATAGAGCACGTGTATCGCTCAATGCCCATTATGCCAAGCGTAAAATTGACGCCTATGCGTTGTTATACTTAAGTTATTAATTTGATTATGTAAGTATTTCTAAAGATTACGTAAGCGATAATTATAAGGTATGTTTTAGCTCAATAAAACATGGGTACGAATTTATGAAACGATGTTTATTAATCAAACACAAAAATCTAATTAATTTACTCTCCCGCTAAAAACCATATTATACAGGGTTAGTGGGAATTCGACAATTTCCTAGCATAGCATGATAAGAGAGTCAAAATGCTACAAATTAGGCTAGGTATGAGAACCGTCAATTTACTCTAAATCTCTAGGTCAGAATTAAATAAAATACACACAATAATTTGTAGGAAAATATTCCATTAACAATTGCTGTATTTGTTTAATGGTTACTAAATTAGTCAGTACAAAGATAAATATTTTTATTTATGTTTATTATTGTACTCGTAACGGTATTTTTGCATAATATGTCCCGTTCGTACCTACTATCATATTTCGCTGTCGTGGACGTTGGACATCAATACAATTTTCTAGAAATAAAATTAGTTATTCATCTACCTTGTACGGTACACTGTGGAGGTGGGCAAAATGTATCATTTTTGGGATTGGAACATTTGCATCTTGATCACTGAAATATTCCGAAACACTGATATGTTTCATTTGGCTCATTTGTATCATCGACTCTAAAGATATAAAAGAAAGAATGTTCCGAATAAATATTAATATAAAATAATAATTATTATTATTATTTTATATTAATATTTATATTTGGATAAGAACTTAGTAATGACTCTAAGTTATATTTACCTTCATTTAAAAAAAAATTGTCTTTGGCCTGACCTACTATACTCTTTGGCTTGACCATAAGTCTGACTAATCTGTTTATGAAACTGTCAAAATTAATGTTATTAAAAATAATAAAGTTGAAATTAAGTTAATATACGCGATAAAATCCGTAAAACGCACCGGCGCCATCTACTTAAAATATTGGTTTGTAGTACATGCTATGTATCAGAGATAGCGCTGTATGTGAAAAAAGATTTTCCCGCTTTTCTGTTGAAATTTTCCTGAATTTTCTTTGCTATAAACCTCACGGAGCCCAAGACCTTTCCAACGAATGCAAAACCGTGGAAATCGGTTCGTGCGTTCTGGAGTTATAGCGTCAGTAAGGAAAACCCGACCTATTTTTATATAGTAGAAAATACCAGATACAAGGGCTTCGCTCTCCCACATTGAAAAATGTGGAGGAGGTACACGGCTCCGCACACGCCGTGCACGGTGAGCGCCAACCATTTTAATGCGCTACCCCCGAAGGGTACGCTAAGTTGGGAACTGGACCGTAGTCCACAGCAAAATAACTGGCGAGCCAGTAAAAGAGGACTTGGCCTCTTGACAGTGCTTAAGGTGACACTAGTCGACATTATTTCCATAGAAATTTCGGAGGGGTTTTACTCCTCTGTTTGACAGTGTACATCCAAAATTAAACATGATATCGTTTTGTCTCATTATTAAATTTGTCTGTACGGAAACAGAATAGTAAAATAAAATGTTATTAAAAAGTTACGAGCTACCAAAGATTCGTTTTTATTGCCAATTTTAACACACCTTTGGGCGTAAATTAGTAATAAAAGAAGTGTAAAATTTCCAAAACAAAGTCGGTACCGACACAGGTAAATTATCGAAGAACTCAATAAATTTTATTTGTAATTGATTAATGCAGTGGTTTTTTCATAAAACCCCTTCTTCCAAAGGCCTTTTCGTATTTTTTTACGCGCGCATGTTACTATGAATTATCGTGCATCTCACTGAATAATGTCTCCCCCGGTGCGGTGCGGGAGGACGATGCTTACACACACATGCACAGGCGGTGACGCGCGCTTATAAGTATTCGAGTTTTATTCGAAACGAAAAGTTTTGCTATTTTGTAATTTGGACGCCAAAGACAAAAGACGGCATGGAAATTGATATAATTGAAAGAGATGATGCGTTTTGGACGACAGACAATATTTTAAAATTTTCGTCTGTAATATAATTAATTATAAAAGTAAAAAAAGTAAAGTCTATATTCGATTACTATATAAAATTGCAACAATTTCATTGGTGCCGACGGGGATCGAACCCGGGTTGCTCGCGTAATGTGATACTTACAGCGAGCGCTAACCATCTGAGCTACCACGGCTCTCAATGCAAGTGTTATAAATAAATAAAGAATTACAAAACAGTTTAATTATTTATTAGACGACTTTTGCGGCGGATAAACAAAGTATATTATGTGGGATTTTCATAGGTACCTACTGTTATTACCTAGATACCTACAATCAACAATACAACAAAATGTCACAAAACCTCGCCGCGTCGTGGCCACAAAATTGTAAACTTTAGGTAGGTACGTCGGTACTAAGAAAACAATCTTGATGGGTCACTTGTCTTGATAAAAACCTGTGTTTACATTTAGTGATATTGAGTATATATAAAAAAATAAGAAGCCAGGTAAGTAAGTATTTTTGGAAACAATTTATAGGTAGGCAGACCAATTACGATTATTATCTAAATATTATAAATGCGAAAGTTTGGATATTTGGATGGACGGATGAATGGATGTATGTTACTCAATCACGCCAGAACGGCTGAAGGGATCTGGATGATATTTTGCTCAGAGATAGGCTATAGTCCGGAATTTTTTTTTCAAAAAAACGTTACCCCACACTAGGATTTTCTCCTGTATCGTGGAGGCAGTTTACAAACATCCAGACCCGGAACAATTATTTGTAGACCATACAAATACTTGTTCGATTGATTCGAACCCGCGGCTCCCAGTACAACAATTCATTGCTAAGCCACTGCGCCACGGAGCTGCCAAATATCATATATGATACCGTTTATTCAGGTATTTCGTTGCCGTGGGATAATTATCGAGTTACACACGTTCGAAGCCGAACTCTTGAGTGATTGCTGCATGACCACTCGGGGAAAACTAAACATAATAAAATAAGCAATCTATATTAGGTATATAGAGCCACAGACGTATACCTAATAATTTCGTGGATTCACCCGCGTCATCACGTGTCCGAGATGCGTGGCATGACATGACACCTAGTTCAAGCATTTTATAATTGCAATCAAATATTTTATTTGATTGTAATGTACGGAAAAATTGTCATGATTAATGGAGTACTTTTATTTTATCTGTCGGCATATTATGCGCGGTTTTTTCCAGTTTTAAAGAAAAACGTACACGATTCATGAAAAGTGTGTAGGCAAGAAATGATTCTTGATAAATTTGCTATCAACCTCTTATACTTATTAATTAATTAAATTTAAACTTTCAAAATACCATAGCAACGTGAAATGAAAGAGTTCAGAAATAAAGATGTAACTAATCATTGCTACGCTCACCCGGGAGATAGATAAAAGTACTCAATTAATTTTGAATTTATTTTAGCTACTAGCTGTACCCCGCGACTTCGTCCTCGTTTAGTTTAGGGCGTTAATATTGTTGCAAAGACACCTAATAATTTTTCTAAAATTTAAGCAGGCTAAGTTACTTCTTATAACATGAGCTATCTACTAGTGAAAGTCCCGCCCAAGTCGGTCCAGCCGTTTTGGAAATTAACCGCAACAAACAGACTGACAGACATACAAAAATGTTAAAAATTGTGTTAATGTTATAAGTACCGTATACAGTTTCATACGCAATTAGTAAAAAGCTGTTATTTTGACATTACAAACAGACACTTCAATTTTATTTATTTGTGTATATACAGGGTATTTTTGGAACGCTCCCGAAAACTAAGACAGGCGACAACACCAAGTACATCTTTGATCATGGGTCACAAATAAATTCGATCCTGATGAAAAAAAAATCAACTTTTTACAACGTTTTATTAGCTTTATTCACGCGCCATCATGTTAGTACAGCTAAATGAAACGATAATTTCATAAAATATATCATGAAAATACTGAAACATAAAACCAGCAGTGGAATGACTGAATTTATATCACCTGACTGAAAGGTCAATGTACGCGCGAACGCAAATTCGCGCGGCCCGCAACTAGCGGGCCATACCACAATATCTAATAATTTACAACACTTGTCTAAATACCTAACTTATCTACTTAACCTACTATTTTGCCACTGTGCTTGTCTCCACTTAGCCACTTTAATCCGAATTTACAGGTTAAATAACCCAAATAACTGGTTCGATTCCCCGCTAATTAAAAAATACTTAAATGAAATTTAACCAAGGTTGGAGTCATGAGTTTTTATTCATCGTGTATGTTTATTATTCTCATGTATTCAGTTATGTACCTATTCAGATTAGTCTAGTACTAAGTTATTTAAAAAAAAATAGGTATGAAACAGCTTACCGCTCTAAATCCTCCGTGGTCTTATGAGATGCGGCTCAAATTGTGCTCCATTAATTTCAAGGTAGATTTGGGTGCAGGCGGGGCATCATCGTGTGGTCTTCGACACAGTCCGTACGTAGTTTCTCGAAACCATCCACGATCCTTTGGCGCATTTCTTCAGCACTATCACATTCACGATTAAAAACCCTTTCTTTCACATACCCCACAAAAAGAAGTCTAACGGAG